GATACATCGGTCAACGGCAACCCGTCCGAGTACGAGGTCAACCACCCTGAGAATCTCGGCGCTTTTAGCTACTACATCGAGATTCTGGGCATCCTGTCCAAGATCCACAAGTTCCTCAAGCAGCCTGTGGATATCAGCGCGCTGTCGGACGTCGAGCAGTGGCAGATGCGCTACAAGGAGCTGGACAACATGCTCACGTCGTGGAAGTTTAGTCTGCCGGGCGAGTTTGGCAACATGGCCAAGCTTTTCCAGCCTGCATCGGCCAAATCGCTCAACTGTGGGTGGATCATGCTTCATGCTACGTATCACACGGCCGTCATCCGGCTGCATTCGTCGGCTGCGTACCCGACCACGCGGTCGCCCATATTCACGCCCAGTTTCAGTGCATCGCAGCGATGTCATGCCGCGGTAGAGAATGTTGCGGCTCTTGGGGAGTTTGTCGTTACACATGGGCTTCTGGTCAAACTTGGTCCGCCGTTTGCGTTTACTCTGTGGGTGGCAGCGCGGGTGCTGTTGGTACACGGCAGCACAGTCGAGCACAAGTTGAGCCCGCAGATTGCCTTTTTCGTGGATACGCTCAAGGAGATGGGTCGTTACTGGCCTGTCGCCGGACGCTACTGCACTTTGCTCAGCCGGGTGTTGGAGGAGCACCGTGTCAGTGAGAGACAGGGAGATGGCGTTACGCCGAGTAGTGTGAGGATTCTCGCAGATATGCGGCGGACCGCGTTCGACCTCGACTTTCTTATCAGTCGACAGCCCAAGCACATGCCGGGTGCTGCCACGCAGGTTACCGGTGGCAATGGGGGCGGGTGGCAAGCACGTGTCCAAAATAATACGCCGGCCAGCAGGACACCAGGCCCCAACGAGCTTGAGTATCTGGATGTCTTTGACTTTTTCAATGTTCCGCGGCTACCTTTCGGTGGTGGCGGGGACCAGGGGAGTGCCGGGCATGTTCCGACGACAGGAGAGACGGTCGAGACGGTGCCGATAATGACGGGGAACCCGGGCATCGGGGTGCCTGGGCAGTTTAATATCACCGAGTACATGGTGGATGTGAACCGGGACTGGCTATTTCCACCGGAAGGGGGCAAGTTTATGGCATAGGTCTGTCTGGTGCATAGCGCGGCGTTATTGCCTTGCGGACGTGGACATGGGTTTGGATGGCCTTGGATACCTAGGTTTGGATACGGATGATACCAGTAATATATATAACAGAATTGGTTGGAGTCGGTTTACGCGTATATGCTGGATGGTTGTTGGTACGACCACCACAGAGAGTTACATTGACGGACGTGAGTTGCTCCTCGCTTATTCCCGCGATCTTCAGTCAGACGCGCGTTTGCAGGATGCCAGGCAGCCTTAATTGGATGCGGGGTTGACATAATCCTTGGCTCATCCTGAGTCTGTTTTTTCTCTTTATCAGTTTCATCTTTGCTTCAAGTCTCGTTAAGACTCAACCCTTTCCTCGCCAGACCCAACATCCAAGATGGAAAAGCTCGAAAAGATGAAGACTTTGCCTCCTCCGCCCGGACGGCGCGGGTTCCGGCCCCGCGAGATTTTGACTCTTGCCGTGGCCATGTCGCTCCTGATGGTGACCGTGGTTTTCAACATCCCCCGAGACCGTCGTCCGGGCGCGCCCCGGGTAGTAATTATCAGCAGCGGACGCGTCACGGCCAAGGCCAAGGCCGAAGACCCGATGAATCCCTGGGACGACGTGAGTCTCTTTCTTCTCGCCTCATCCTTTCAGAGATCACTAACAGCCCCGTCAGATCACCCCATCCACCAAGTTGCAATGGACGCCCTGCTACGAAAAAGTCTTCCCAGCCCTGCACATACAGTGCGCCCGCCTCGCCGTGCCGCTAGACTATTCCAACCCCCTTTCAGGCCCGCAAGTCGCCATCGCGATGGTCCTCATCCCCGCGAAAAACATGTCCGTAGCCAAGCAGCCCCTCCTGATCAACCCCGGCGGTCCGGGCGGATCAGGCGTGCTGGCGGGTCTCTCGCTCGGCCCCGCGATCCAGACTATCGTCGGAGAGGACCGGGCCGTGATCGGATTCGACCCGCGAGGGGTGGGGTATACCACGCCCCAGGCGGACTGCTGGGCGACGCCGCCTAGCGAGGGGTGCGGCAGTGGCAGTGACGACGGCGACGGGGACGGGGAGTGCGAGGGCGATGTGTACAAGGGGTTTGCGCACCGGGTCGAGTGGCTTAGTCAGAACGCCGCGTTTGGCGGGGTCAATTCGAGTAATGTCGCCGTCAAGTTTCTGGATGCCGGGGAAAGGGCGGTGAATAGGCTGTGTACCGAGCAGGATCGGGTCAGGGGCGGGAAGAGCGTGTTGGGGTTTGCGGCGACGGAGAATGTGGCGAGGGATATGGTGAGGATTGTGGAGAGGTGGGATGAGTGGGTTGATGACATGCAGCGGGAGGGGACAGAGACAAAAAGGGAGATGAGGGGGAAGTTGGTGTATTGGGGGTTTAGCTATGGGACGTACTTGGGCGCGACGTTTGCGAGGATGTTTCCGGAGCGCGTCGGGAGGGTGATGTTGGACGGGGTTGTTGACGCCGATTATTATGTGTCGGATATGTGGGACGAGTCGTTGGCCGATGCGGATCGCGTGCTGGATGCCTTCTTCCGGGGGTGTGCCGAGGTCGGCAAGGAGTGTGCTTTCTATAGGGAGGGCGATGATGCCGACACCATCAAGGCACGGTATGATGGCGTCCTGCAGAAGCTAGACGACTACCCGATCACCTTCACCCATCCGGAGCACTTCTACCCGGTCGTCCTGCGGCGCGAGTTCCTGCATCAGCTTACCTTCATGACACTCTACTCGCCCACTCGCGGGTTTATAGGCCTCGCGAGGCTGCTGGATATCCTCGCGGAGGGCGAGTACTCGACGCTTGGGCCGATGTTTGCAGACCTCCAGATATACTGCCGGCTGCCAGGGACTAAGGCTACAAGAGCCGGGTACGAGGCACAACGCGCCATCATGTGCGGCGACAAGACCAAACCGGTGAACCTGACGATCCCCGAGATCTGGGAGCACTTTGACACGATGACGGCCTTCTCGCGGTTCGGAGACATCTGGACCCAGTTGTTGCTCCAGTGCGACGGCTGGGATATTTACCCGCCGCGGTCTGAGTCGGTTCCGGCCTGGGGAGGCGACAAGACGCCGATCGAAACGGCGTTTCCGGTTTTGTTTCTGAGCAATACGTTTGATCCGGTCACGCCGCTGCGGGCAGCGGTCAAGATGGCTCTGCGGTTCAAGGACGCCGGGCTGTTGGAGCAGCATGCCGAGGGGCATTGTACTATCGCCGTGGTCTCGCGGTGTACGGCCAAGGTGGTTAGGGATTATCTGATTCACGGCAAGGTGCCGCCGGCGCCGGTGGTTAAGGGGGATGGGTTTACGGAGGGTGAGTGGATGACGTGTGAAGCGGACGAGAGGCCGTGGAGGGGGGTGTCGGGAATGGATGTGGATGAGGAAGACGAAAAGCTGGTGGAGGCGTTGCAGACGGTGAGGGATGTCATGGGGGCGATGCCGCGAGGGGGTCCAGCGATGGAAGAGGTGAAGGGGGTTTCGGAGGGGGTATTGAAGCTGCTGAGGTGAGTTGCCCCTTTTGTCTCTTGATTACCGTTACTAACTGTGCCAGGAATGGGCCGCGAATGCCTCTTTGATTGCCTTGACTTCTCAGTAGGTTCAGGAGTAGGATTAGGGGCTTATTGGATTGGAATTGGGTACCTACATAAAGTGCGGCTGTTTCAGGCTGGGAGCGGTTGACCGCCGACGTACACGCGACGACGGTCACAGTTCGTTCTTTGTACATCACTCGCTGGCCTCGTGGATTGTTTTAGACGTTATTTGTAGGATTACCCCGGTCTCCTGCATCGGAGAAACACAACGGGATGCAGGTTACAGAAGCTATCGATTCGCCGACCAATCCAGACGGCGGCCTCAAGCCCCCGTGGCAGTGCATACATGGATACATGGATGAGCCTCTGGCGTCCTCCCGCCTTGCACCAACTCTATAAAACCATGATCCTCACCGCTCCTGTATTCCAGATTCCTCTCCTCCAATCCCAAACCCCTACGTCCACCAGAAATCCACCAAAATGAACCTCTCCCGCGAAGCAATCATCCTCCTCCGCCCTCCCTCTTCCTCTTCCTCTGAAGACTCTCATCCATGGACCTCCCCAAAAACATCCTTCCTCTCCGGCGAATGGGCCCTAACCCATTCCACCCTCCCCTCCCGCAGGTTCCAATCCAACACCACGACGACCATCCAAATTTCCGCGTCCGGAGAAACAACCCGCACGCACACCTATTCCGCTATCACCACCTCTACCGACAACGACGAGAACCAACCAAAATCCACGACAACAACCGAGAAAGCAACCGACTTCGACCCCACGACCAACACAGCATCAGTATTCGAGACCTGGAAAGTCCTAGCCTGGGGGAAGGAAGGCCAGCTCGAGAGCTGGATGATCGACGACGGGGACGGGTGGATCTCGGACGATTCGGGGGAGCGGAGGGGGGATTGGCGGAATAGCTATGTTGTTGTCTGGAATGAGGGTCCGGAAGAGAAAGGTGTGGATGTGTGGGATCGCTGGGGACGGACGCGGCCACTTTCGGTGGGGACGATTCGGAAGATTAGGGAGGCGTTGAGGGCGGCGGGGGTGGAGGGGGAGTTGGTTAAGGTTGCTGGTGTTCACAAGTGATGTGGCGGCTGAGGTGAGGAGAGGAGGTATGTATACCTTAGTCATGGTAGAGGTTGTAGTGGGTGGTATCGGCTTGGCGGGAGTGCTGATGAGGGTGGGCCCGAGGGAAGAAGAGTCAGAGGGTTCAGAGATGATGACTAGGTAAAATACCTATCTTAGGCCAGCAAAAAGGGACCTGCAAAACAAACTGTCATCCCTTGCTCAAGTCGAGTCAATTACGGATCAAAACTGGTGACAAGACTTCCCCCGAGCTAATGTTCTCACAAGAGACAAAAAGATACACGGGCTCAATCGGGGATCGAACCCGAGACCTCGCACAGATACTCGTCAAGAGTACGGATGAAATACCCGAAGCACGAATCATACCACTAGACCATTGAGCCGGTCTCCTTGTTGACGTTGTGATCATAGTGTTTTCCGTCTTTTGTAGCGTTGACCCTCCAGCAAAGTCGGGCGTGGCGAATATCGCCAGATGGAAGGGCGGCGCTTACACGTGATTGGTCCAGCCGGCTGCGCACTGCACTGCGTGGCACCTTTGCATGGCTGCCTAACCTCTCAGGTTGTCGTCGAATGTGGCTTGGCTTGGTTTGTTCTGGTGAAGGGGTGGAGGGGGGACGCAGCTGGTCAAATGATAACCAGCAGGCCTCCAGTTTTCTCTTAAAGATCATGGTCCTTTCACCGAGTTTTCCCGAACCGCACTTTTCTCCCAGAAACACTCGCCAGGAATAACAATCCCTTACTTTCACAATGTCGATAAAATCCACCATCCTCGTCCAGCCGCCGTCGGACACTAGCCCAGGACAGACCTGGACGCCATCGCCGGTGCTGCACGTCCGCTTCACTGTTCCCTTCTGGGACCGATCGACCATCACCGCGCGGGCAAGTATCGTCAGCTGGAATGGTACGCAAGTGGCCGCCATCCCCAGCGGCATGGCCGTCGGGCCTTTCTTTGGGGTGCCGAAAACTCCGCCGCCGATTTATGCGCCGGCCGAATGGGATGCCTACTTCTGCTGGGAGGGTCTTAGTTGCGCCGAGCCTGGCACGTACCGGCTGCGGGTTGAGGTCGAAGTCCCCGGTCTGGGACGGGACGTGGCCGAGAGCCGCTTCGTGCTGGTCTGGCGCGGTTTGGGGAGTGATTTGATGACAAGTCCCTGTATGTCTCCCCCCGTTCCCCAACAGGAGACACGAAGTCTAACAGTGAAAAGCGGCCGACGAGCTCAGGACGTTGCACCGGCTTGAACAGGAGGTCGGGAAGGGCCCGTTCCGCACCGTCACGTATAAGCGCACCGGGGGGCCGGCGTGGTGGTTAGGCTGAGGGGGGCACGCATGAGACGGATGTAAGTGAGACATGCCTTGCTGACAGGTGTTTCCCTCATCTGGTGTCGCGTTACTCACCCTAATTCAGTTACACGGAGCCGGCTTCAGTCACACAGGCACCAAACCTGTTTGCTCCAAACCCCATGATCTTTGGTCTGACACTACGCGGATACCAACAAACTCATTTCCATCCGCTCTTTGTATTCTCTACCTATTACCATTAGAACGGCACCGACAAACCGCACCGGTTAATTCACGCCCCCGCCCGCAACACCATGGCAAAAAACGTCCGCTGTCCACTGGCCCCGTCGAAATTCGCCGTCGCCGTCAGAGCCACCAGCACGTCCTGGTCATAGCGAATCACCGTCCCGTTTGTCGAGATCACCTCGGGCTGGCTACTACTCCAGTTGATCGGGATCCCATTCGACACCGTCGGCAACACGATATTCCCCCGAATGGCATCGACATTAGGAATATTCAACGCCAGCAACGCAGCCGTGATTCTGTCCTCCGCACTCGTCCCCGAATCTCCTCCTCCTCCCCCAGTGCCCGGAGCCTGCGTCGGAGGAACCAACGTGGCCACCTCGGCCGCCGACAGCGCGTGGTCCCACAGCCGGAAATTCCGGACCGACCCGGCCAGGTACTTATCCGCCTTGAACGTCGACCTTCCAATATAATTCGAGGACGTCGAGCCCGTCCCGATACTCCCCGGCGCCACGATCGCCGCGTTATTCGTCCGCCCGCCGAGCGACCTCCCGTCCTGATACAGCGTGAGCCTTCCCCCGCCCTGGGCCGTGCTATCCACCACGAACGTGAGGGTGGTCCACACGTTCCGGGCCAGCGCGCTCCCCGTGCGCACCTCGGCCTCGTTGTCATACGTCGAAGGGGTGATCGCGCCGCGCAGGACGGGGTCGCCCGTCACGAAGACGTAGCCGTTGCCGTACCCGTTGCTCCCGGCGTTGCCGAGCCCAAACACAAAATAGTTGCCGCTCTGCTCGGTGCGGATGAGGACCTCGATGCTGGCGCTGAGCGTGTACTGGTTGCGCATCAGGTCGTTGGGCAGCTGGATGCAGCCGTCGACGCCGTCGAGACGGGTCCCGTTGCGCCCTTGTAGGGCGGGCGTGTTGATGTATCTTCCGTGCCGGTTGTTGCCGCTGTAGTCGGTCGCCTGGGTGCCGGCAGTTTCGTTGAGGGGGAGGAAGAGGACCAGCTTGGCGCTGGCGGCCGTCGCGGCGGCTATCGCCAGTAGAAGGGGATGCATTTTTTTTGTCTCTCTCTCTCTCTCTTGCTCGCTCCTTGGTAGAAACAAATGCAAAGCGCGAATGTGATCCGAGCTGCGTCCGTCTTATATGATGACCTATTCCATGCCTGGATGGTATACCCCCCCCCCTTTGTTATTACATACTACTCCCCGAGTGATATCAGCCCGGTCAGCAACGGCCGCACAGCCGGTAATCTTTCGAGAACGGCCATCAGCCGCTTATCCATGGATATTCCTCGTCAAAACCCGAGGTATAGGGCTACCCGAATTTTCCGAGCCGCATGCCACACGGGATGATGATAACGACAAACATGACGCGGCTGTACGCCTTTTTGTCTTTCTGGCTGGAATATACCCGGGAACCCGGGTCCCGCGGGTCAAGGCTGTGGCGCCACGTCGTTTATCAGCATCGGTTTCCCTGCTTCTGTTCGTGCGGTTATCTATTTCCCGTTTTGCTGTTCCTGCATTTTATGGTCGGTGAGTAGGTGGCATGGCGTGGTTCTGGGTAAACCGTGGGGGTCATTCTCGATGCGTATTAGTTCTGTATCCAGCCCACCTACACAAGGAAGAAAGAAGAGACCGTTTTATCCGTACCCGGACCCGACCCGACCCGGTCGGGTTTCCTTGATCCTCTGGTCTTGGCGGAGGTTGTCTGAGATCGGATTTCAACGGAGGTCCGGGGGAAGCGCGCTCGCGTGCCTAGACTTTGCGGTCTATGACGGGGACGGGATCGTGGGCCGTTTCTTGGGCTTCGGCAGTGGTCATACTAGGTATCTTGCTTCTGACTCAGCATGGGTTTTGGCGCAGTGGTTTTGTTGACTTTTGTGGTTTCCTTTCGTTCGCCGAGAAAACCGGACGTTCGATCGGGTCAGATCGGTCGTTTCGTACGGTGGTCGGACTGCGAGACGAAAATGGTCGTATACAAGGGAATCTAAAGTGTGGGAGGAAAGTTGTCCTTTTTTCCGCACGACAAAAATGACGCTTGGGAGCCATAGGCCTGATGCTGATGGATGGTGATGGTCCTTTTCCTTGTGTCAACAGGAGAGTGAGCTCATGATACTGTCTCGGCTGCCAATCTTGCGGCACCTAGCGCCTAGCGTGAGCCTGTGTTCTTCACAAATAGTACTTGTGAGAAGCGCTTGCGGACGTACTAGTGAGGCTATCGTGATAATGCTAAGGTAAGGTGCCTAGTTTAGCTAGGTATGCATTCGCAGAACGAACTAGAGAGAATCTAGGAGTGCTGTACGAACGATGCCCACCTCACAATGACGTTACGTCCCTGCTAGGTAGTTAGCCGTGCCTGTTTCATGACCCAAAAGTATCGAATCGCCGCTGGTGCACCCCTATCAGACGCTCTAAAGATGGACTAGCTGTTCACAGCAGTCCTGCCGCCTGAACAGCGCTTCTGCACCTGCAATGCTCATGCAGTCCTCAACTAGCTTCGGAGTGCTGTGTCCTGTGAGGGCGGCCGTAAAGCGCTAAACTGGCGCTGTGAAGATATAAAGCATGTGCTAGCCCGTTCAAAATTCTCCCTCATCATATCCGGCACCATATCGAGCACTTCCTTTCCGCAGACAGTCGTCTGTACATTTACTTTGCCAATGACCTCAACATTTCAGTCCCCGAATTTCAATCGGGCAACATCGTGTCTGAAGACAAAATGCCGTCGGCCAAGTTGAAGGACCCAGAGGACCTGCTGGGGGCAACCTCCGAGGGCGATTTGAGGGAAGGAATGATGAAGACATGGAGAAGAGTGAAGAAGCTGGCGATGGCAAGGATGGGGATGGGGGCAAGGATAGAAACTGTCGAAGCTCAGAGGAGCTCGCGGCCCGGGCCTGAGCTGAGACTTCCTCATCATCTCCGCCATTGCCGATCTATCAGCTCCCGCCAGTCTCATTATCCCACCACACCAAGAGAGTCCGCAGCGCTGGACCCTCGATACAGGGGTATCATTTTGGAGAAGCGTCTAAAGTCATATTCGAACCACCGAAGCAGCATCTACAGTCAGCCCGCGGGTTCTGGCCCCTTCCACAACCCGACCGGTCCTTCGCCAGGTTCCCAGCGGTCTGGGCACGTCCAGCCTCCGGATGACAGCCAACCCAACTACGGTCAATCCCAAACTCCCGTCCCCTTCGGCGGCGGCTTCGTTCTATACCCGACTCAGGGTCCCATAACTCCCGATCATCAGCTGCGATTGCCCCGGTCCCGCCTTCCGGGCTACATCTACCTCGCCCCCATCTGCCTTCACCAAGCTGAAAATGCATATGCCCGCACCCTGTGTCCCGCCGCCTGTCAGCACAGGAATCCATACCCCTTTAGCCCACCCAGCCGCAACCCGCGTTTTAAGCCCGCTACCTCGACCCAACCACCCCCGAGCCCCTCCCCATCGGACACCGGCCAGGTCCAGGATGCCGGCAGCATGAGCCACTTCGCAGCCCTGTACCTCGAATTGGTCGCCTCTCCTCCGGGCCCGGAACCAGAGGACGAGTTGTGCTGGTGGCTCTGCGACTCGTGTGACATGCGCCGGCTTGGCCGCGGGGATGATGAGATTTGTCCCAAGTGTTGGACATATGACTGGCACCGGGATCCTGGGCAGCGCTAATAGCTACTAAGCCAACGACTCAATTTGATTCTAGCGCTCTTGGTAAACACAAATGCCTCTCCGGGTACCCCTTCCAGGCACTAGACTGGGTCCAGAACCATATTCAGGCCAAGCATATTTCCCAAAACTTCAGAGCCGCAACCCTAACTGAACGGTAGTTTGAGTCCTACGGTGCGGGTGCAGTCATCTTTTGAGCTTCCAGT